GTAAACACGGAAAGAGGCTCTCTCCTGGTGACTCCTGCATGAAGCTTGAGAGCTTTCAGAGCTCCTAGAAAATCATCCCAGAGGGAATGGGAACCACTTGTCTTCAGGGTTTGCTGCGGTGGTTCATCAACCTTCCCCCTGAAAACATGCATCTTACAAAAATGCAGTATCCCATAGGTCTGAAGTTATGTGAAATGTTTATTTAATGTAATTTAGGTAAAAAAAAAAAGGAAAATACTGAACTGAGGAAAAAAAATTATGAAATATGGAACAGTCTGGCAGAACCACCTCTGCCTCACTGAGGTGTCATAAAAAGAGAGGCAGAAATTGCTGGTAATTTCAGCAGAAACAGGAAAATCAGACAAAGTCTTCAATCACCACAGGGGCTATGGAGCCAGGGGAAGCACCAGTACCAACGTCTTTCTTTACATCTTGAGAACTTCCAAATCCTGAAGGCCAAAACCACTGAGTAACTTGCACGATGCCTCGAGTTAAACGGCTAAACAGGGACGATCTGTTGTGTTGAATCCAACACAAGTGCTTCTGGCACCCAGTTAACGAGAAGGAAACATCTTTGACCAGGGACGAACACGTCTTGAGCCCACTGGTACCTCCCAGCACCTCCCCTCTGCACAGCACGCTCCGCTGGGGCACCTCCACCAGGACCTGTCCTCACCACCAGCAGCCTCTCCCCGGCGGGAGTCAGTGTGAGGCTGCACGTGGGGGAAGGTTCCATGAAGGACACGAGAGGACCAGAACACAGCAGACAGCACCTAAGAGCTTGTGACGACGCGTGTGTGTGTGTGTGGGTGTGTGAGAAAGAAAATGGATGCGAGAGGAGGACGCGGAGTGACTTCATCTCACAGCGTGAACGAGCACGGACGGGTGTGGAGCAGAGCCACGCAGGGTGCCAGGGACCCATCAAATGGCGTAAGACTATGGAAGTGACACAGAGGAACCCAAAAATTACCGCAGAGCCCCTGAGAAAAAACAGAACCACCCGTAGGTTTTCTCTATATTGTATTTTGGGAAAGCACTGGAAGCTTCATTGAAGCGTATTTGTCTTCCCACACAGCTCGTACTATGGCATGGCTCTATCCCTGCAACTCCCTGTGCTATCATTACTAAGCTTTAAGGAATCTACCACATCGTTTTTAAGGACAGCACCAGCTATTTCCATAGCTACCAAGTTTGAGCCCTTCTAAATGTTACAACTTTGTCATCACTCTGATGTCAATAAGGCCTAGTGACAGACGCCTCAGAAATGCAGACCTGACCCAATAAGGCAGATCGAATGATGGAAGACATTTCTCTTTGACAAGAGGATGACATGGTTTTTCATATTACTTCTTGGATGTCAAAATCTGAGTTCTAGTATGCCTTAGACATAATATCATTTGAATATGGAGAAAAAAAGATTTTATTTCTTATTTCCGTGATCGCTCATCTTCTTATCAGATCCCTGCTATTGTGAAGCTTCACATCTCTCGAGGGCTTGGGCAGAAATCCCCCTCTTCAGGCAGGCCCTCAATCCCCCTGTCAATTCCTCTTCCAGGGGTAATTGAGTAGAGCTACAACAGGTGAATTTGTGGAAAACTAAAGACATAAGCAGATAGATCCTCTTCCTTACTGAAGCACACCTGTCTTGACTTGGAAGGGACTCTAAATCACATCAGCTGAGGACCTGGCCCACTGCTATGATTTTATTTTATCCTTGATTTATTTTGTTTATTTCTTCCTAGCTACTTTTTCAGGATGTGTAATTTCACTTGCAATGACTCAGTAGTGAACAAGTCCAGTCTCAAGACAGAGAACTCAAAGAACCTGTACATACAGAGCGTGGTTTGCTGTCATATTACTGGCCTAGCCCAGTGTAATAAAGTATATTAATAATAATATTTTACTACTTAATAAGATTACCAAAATATTTTGTTGACGCTGCAGTACCTAAGAAGTTGCAGCCCCAAATTAAGATTGCACATGCTTTAGTATCTGCATAAATACAGACCAGGGTAAGTACAGATCTGGATACATCTGATCCAGCCTCTGTATTGCTGGTACTTCTTTAGAAAAATACTATTGCCCAACAGCACAGAGCAGAGCAAACAGCACAGCCCTCAGCCACCAAAGGAAACAATTCTTGGGGTAAAAAAGGGCTACTTTCTTACATCTGGATGTGACATCCAAGTCAGTGTGGCTGGATGTGATTTACAGGGACATGTAAATAATTAATGCCAGCTCTGGAAGGGAGAGCTGGGTACTCATTAGAGTTTCCTTGAAGCCCAAATGATATAATGATTAACTGACTTAGGATCTTTTTAATAATTCCAGCAATTTCAAGCCTCCCAGGTTAAAGATCTGCTGAAGAGCTTTTATTCAGATGAAAGGCTCTTTTCAGAGAAAAAATCATTAATAGAGTGTACACACTAGATCTAACATTCACAAATCAATGCACTTGAAATAAAATACGCTTTTAAAGTTTCTTTTTCACTTTCTTCCCTGATTTGGGGGTTTAGTGCTTTTCTTTCACTAACAAATTTTACCACAGACAGTTAAGACTGCTGCATGAAAAAGGGCTGGTTTTCTGTTAAAAGTGCTTTCAGCACTTTGGCATCCTGAAACGGAATGGCAGAGAAATGCAAAATACAGCTACTACACTAATCCCATGCACTTCATCTGACATGCCAAGTTTCACACTCTCTGCTAGAGAAAAATCTATTAGAAAGCGAGATCAAGCAAGGGCTGTCCAACACAGTTCAGTGTTACAGGGCAGGAGGGATCAAAGCAGATTTTATCCCTGCTCCTAAATAATGCCAGAGGAAGACTTTTTGGTCCAAATACTTTAAAGCCATTTATACTTCTGCTTAATCCCTCTTTAAATACTTTCTTATCAATAACTGAGAAGTGTCCCATCATTTGGGCTTCTGGACCCTCTGTATCTGCTGCTCCAGCCAGTGAACAGACCTTCACCACCTTCAGTGGGAATGGAACCAGCACTTTAATGATTTGCACAGCAATGGCCTGAATTTTTTAGAAGTTTCACACCCTGGTAAATCACGCCAGAGCTGATAGGAACTGCAATTGCTGTGCTGGTGGGCAGCCAAGGACAGAACCAAAACTCAGATTCAAATCTTCTAATTATCAGCCCTCCCTTGGAAGTTAAGGAATGCACAACCAGAAGGCAACCCACGTGTAGGCTGTTAAATGCACATACATTGATAATTAATACAGACATTAATACTATGTCTGGAAAAGCAAACAGCTCTGTTTTCTTTATACAGGCCCAGGTTTGTAATCCACTTATTTTCATTTTCTAAAACTTTCTAGATTGACTGTTAAGTCAAGTTTTAAAACTTCACTGCTTCCGCTCCTATCACAAAGGAATTAGCAAGCAAACTGTGAGGCTCAGACAATGGTTAATACTTTGAGACACTAATTGGCCATATTTAATGAATTTAATTTGCAGCAGCCATGCTAATACGCATAACTATTAACTCTGCCCAGCTTTACCTTCCATGGGACCTGCACCTGCTCCCATTAACTTCAGTGGGATGCAGATCAAGGCCACAGCATTAATTCCTCCTGGACCTCTTCAGCAGCACTAATTAACCCTCACAGGTGGCTTCAACACAACGACCAGAGAGTTGACAGAAAGTTGCTCAGTGGGAACCCCAGTGAACTGTCCTGCTGCTCCAGAGAATCTCAGTGCAGTCAAACTTTGCTCCCCAATACCCCTTTCTCTCAGGAAGGGAACTGCACGTCTAAGGTGACGAGCAGGGCACGTCTCTCCCAGCACGAAATCCTGACAGCTGAAGGTGACGAGAATACGCCTCAACACTTGGCTCTTACGCTGCACTTTGTTCCTTCAGAGACCTGGACAGGCACTGATTCGATTTGCTAAGTCAGTGCTTTCCTGAGGGCTCTGCTATCAGCTCATCACTGATGAGCGGAGCTGCGTGACCCACCTCCATATTAAAGACCAGCCTGGCTCTTACTCGCAGCCTGTTCAAAGGAAATCGGCGAGCCCGTGAACCAGAAATACTCTGTTTATAGAGAGCCCTCCCTTGGAAGCAGAAAGAAACTGAAATATTACAGACAGAACTTGTTCAACTGTGTTTTGGAAGTGGCACGCCTCGTAGGAAAAGCACTACTTGGGATCAGCAACGCTCCGTTTCGAGACACGCTTGAAGTAGCAATTAAAGCTAAAGTGGGGACACGGCAACGAGGAGCACTCCCAACACAACCCCACCTTAATTACAATGTACATACACAGAGCAGCCCGTACGCTGCCTCCCTTCAGCACTCCCGGCTCTCTACCTCTATAATATCCTGTATGCAAAAATTAGTTTTAACAAAAATAAAACTCTTTGCTCAGCCAAAAAAGCACCAGCCTGCACCCCGCTCCCTTGCACCATCTGTGCGTGTTTATTCTCAGCCTTCTGGGGAAAAAAAAAAAAAACAAACCAAAAAAAAAAACACTCTAACGTTTTACTAATCTTTATGCCCCGCCACTATAAATAAAACAAATAAAGCCCAACAACACTTAAGCATCGTAGCTAAAACACATCCAATCCACTCCGATTATTTCTGCTCGTCTGTCCACGAATAGCTGCAGCCATCGGCTTTAGGGGAAGCGTGCAAGTCAGACCGCATTTATTTACAGTTGCACTATCGAGAAAAAGCCTTTCCCCATCTCCTTGTTCTATGAATATTTCAAAACACTTGGGTTTTTTTCCTTTTTTTACCTCTTTTTTTTTTTTTTTTGGGGGTGGGAGGGTTGGAGGGGGGGATGGCGAGCAGGGATGCTAGCCCAGGTCCTGCCCCTCAGTTCTACATTTCCCCGTGTTTCCAGGTCGCCCCGAGTTCTCGCTGGGAGGGATGCGCGGGGCGCGGAGCAGCCCCGCACGCAGAGGCGCGGACCCGGGGACACGGACCCACCCCCGGAGAAAGGGACAGCGCCCGCAGCCCCCCGGCCCCCGCAGCCCAGACCCGCCACCTACGTCCCCAGCGTCTCCTTGAACTCGAAGATCTTCTTGATGTCCTCCGCCTGCTTCTTCCAGGAGCCGCCGCCGTCCCCGTTCTCCCGGGCCATGGCCGCGCAGCCCCGCGGATGCCGCGCCGGCGGCTCCGAGCCCTGGGGCGGCTTTTGCTTTCTCTTCTGCCGCGGCAGCAGCGGCTGCTGCTGCTGTTTCTTCTTCTTCTTCTTTTTTTTTTTTCTCCTCCTCCTCCTCCTCCTCCTCCTTCTTCTCCCCTTCCTCCTCCTCCTCCTCCTCACACTTCCTGCCCGCCGCCGCTTTTATTTCCTCCGCTCTCCGGCGGGCTCCGCGAGTGTCACTTTTCCTGGGCTATTTCCTCCCAACTTTCTCTTCACCCCCCCGCTTTCCCTCCCCTCCTCTCCCCTCCTCCGCGCTCCCCCTCCCCGCGGAGCCGCTTGGCGGGGCTGCCCCGTCCCTCCCTCCCTCCTTCCTCGCCCCGCGCAGCAGCTGCGCGTCCCGGGGTCACTTTGCTCCCTGACTGACCCACCCCGAGGAAAAGTCCTTCTTTTTTGTTGTTGTTGTTGTTGTTTTGGGGTTTTCTCTCTCTCTCCCTCCCCCTTTTTTTTTTCTTTTTTTTTTTTTTTTTTTTTAAGGGAGGGAGGTCACTGTTTCTCTTCCCCCACCCTCCCGTGCGGGGCCCCGTGGGATGCTCAGCTCCCGGGCGCGGTGCGGTGCGGAGCGATGCGGCCCCGCGGGCACAGCGGCTGTGCGCGGTTGTTATGGCAATGGGAGGAGGAAGAAGAGGAGGAGGAGGAAGAAGAGGAGGAGGAGAAGGAGGAGGCAGCCCCGCCGCTGCTCTGCTGCCTGGCGCTGCCCCTCCTGACTGAATGAAGATAATTCGCATTGCACCAAAACCGCGCACGTCAAACGGGAGGGGAGGGAAAGCAGCGAGAGGGAAAAAAAAAAAAAAAGGAAAGCAGGGAAAAAAAAATAAATTCGAAAGCCACACCACAAACGGCGGCGCTGCCTGGCCGGGCGCTGCGCGGGGTTGCGCCGGGATGCGCGGGGGCTGCCGTGCCCACCTGCCTCGCACGCAGATACACGAGCCTGGGATGCAGAAACGCACCCCATGGCAAGGACCACCCTTAGCCAGCACAACCCTCGGTGCACCCAGCGAAGCGAGGGGCACCCAAACAGAGGGGCCGCGCAGCCCAGGGGCAGGGGATGGGCACCGCGCAGCCACGGTGAGAGCCCCCAGCCCTGACACGGTGCCCACCCCGCCGGCACCGCCGTCTGAGCCGGGCACGGCATGGGCCTGTCACACTGTCACACACGCGTGGCTGGGATTATTGCTAAAAGCAGCTTTTTCTCGGCGACACTGAGACCTCTAGCGTCGTCGCATCGGGCACGGGCTGAGCTCTGATGCGGGGTGACAGGCAGGATTCCTCAGACATCAAGGAAAATGACAGTCTAGGCTAAGGGAGATATGTTTGTAGTTGAGATCTTCGGGCTGCCGTTACAGGATAGGTAAGGCACTAAAAAAGTGCAGTTCTTTTGGGACACCCAAGTTACTTGACTAAATCAGAGGCTTTGCTGCTGGCAGGCACAGGCACTCCAGTGCCTCCAGGGCACCTCCAAACCTCGTCAGCTCCAAACCTGATCATCAAAACAGGACCTGGAAATAAATCTAAATACAAGGAGCTAAATAACATTTACTCTGCTAATGTGATTGTATACATATAATTGTTTAACATGTATTGTGTCTTTTAATAGATTCCTTAAAATTCTACTTTAGAAGCTGGTTTTCCAGATTTCTCATGTTTCATGAGCAGAATGTACCAGATATCAGCCTTTGAGGCTTATCCTGGGTCTGGGCTGTAGCTGTGCCTCTCATCTCAAAGGGGCTGTGGCAGAGGTCGGAGTTCATAGGTGGGTGAAAGTGTGAACTTGGAACACAGGTTGGGGTGTTTGGTCAATGCTACCCTCTGCTGGGCAGAGCCACTCAGTTTTGCACGTGCCAGCCCTGATTTATTACTGCACCCCTCTACTCTGATGCTTTGGTGGCTCTCCAGCCACATGGACAGCCCAAACATCTCAGAATTTCCTGCAGTGGATGCTTATGTCACAGCATGCACTTTGGAACAGATTTCCTTCTGCTCATGGCTTATTCCTCTCTTCTCACCACCCTCAGGATTTGTTTTTATTGCATGATCCTTCCAACCTGCTCCCTGGTAGTGTCACCAGGAGTCCCCAGGCAGCCTCACAATGCCACTGCATACCTGGGAAATGAGAGATGTGACTGACCTAAAAGGATGCAGCTGACTACCAAATGCAAGTTTCCCTTCAACCCACACCACTGTGATGTTTCCTCTCTTTTTCACCACGTGTAAATCACTGGGTACTAGAAATGCCACGCTGTGATTTGGGATTAGTGAGTGGAGCTACTGACAGGTGACCTCCTATCTTCAGGAGAAGATTGAGAGAGCGTGTGAGGCCAGAGAGGGCAAGTGTGATGGTCTGCCCTGACCTCCAGCGTGGTAGAGGCCAAAGAGCTCCATCCATCCAGAAGAAGAGCACTGTAACTTACCCTGGAGCTATGGCACAGCAAAACCATCCACCACTATTATTTATGGTTGCCACACCAGTCCTCACAGCATCATGTTAAAATCTCACTGCACAGACAGCGTCGCCCACTTCTCCATCCCTGCTTTCAGCCAGCAAAAATTTTACTTGAAATTGCTCAGATTCTTGCCAATGCTGCAATTTCTCAGCATCAACACGGCATAAGTTAAAGGTAAAAGTACAGGTCAGTCTGTAAATCTGAGTTCTATTTTCCTTATTTAACCTGCACCTTTAGCACGGCATGAATGTGCTTTTTTGTGACAAAATAACTCACATTTGAAGGTAGTGGTAATATAGAAATCTCTGGAGCCATTATAGTTTTAATGAGAAGTGTAGGAGATGCTCCTATTAGGCAGGGACCACTGGCACAATAGACTGTAAAAGCCCCTTCAGAGTCATTACAATCTGTCATGTCAGGCTGAATTTAGGGAGTCTGTAATCTTCCTTGACTGACAAGCTCCTGCAGAGCTATTGTAGCTATTTGAAGAACAGGTATTTTTTTAAAAATTAAAAATCTTACGTTAAAAGTTCCCTCTGGAGTGGCAGGATATGCTGCTGCTGTGGGGCTCTGCACGGCTGTACTCAGTGTTTAATTACCTACAACCAGATTGCAAGAACAGTAATCGAGTGGTAAAATGAAGCACACAGAAATGCCAGCATTAAAACTGACAATAAAACATCAATTCAGGCCCTCTTAGTGGCTTCATGGAGGCCATCTCTCGTTACCTGGGCATGAGCAGACGTGGCTGATGCGTGTTTGGAAGAGCTACACACGCTGCACATGCACCCAACCACTCCGTGCAACAGCACAGATGGACAAGGTCCAGCTTTTTTTTTTTTTTTTTTTAAAGCCTCCCGTGGAAATATTGTAAATTTAGGGGAGAAACTGAAAATCGACTTCTATGAGAGATATTTTATTTCAGGATAAAGCGATGGGATTTTTGGAGTAATATTTGAAACTGCGTTTTTACTGCTTGGGTCCTCCCAAGTGGTGTTGTGGCTCATAATATGTATGGTATGGCCACGATCACTGCTGGCCCTTCATGTGGGCACTGTGCAAATTGTATTGTCATGAACAGAAATAATGGAGCCATGTCTGGTTTTGAAGCTTTTCCACTTGTAACCTGGCTTTCTTCAGCTGAAATTCTAGAACACTGGATGTCTTTCCCAATGTTGTTTCTAAGCCACGCGATCTGATCTCCCTTTCCAATTACAAACCAGCACTATTGATGCTTTTCTGCAAGAACATGAGAAACGTGCCTGTCACTCAGCTGCTGGGGCCTGACCCCAGCAGAGGAGCACCCCCATGTCCCCGGGTGTTTAGGGTTAAAACCTCACGTACAAGCTGCAATCTGCAAGGCAGCAACTCCAGCATCTGAGCTGGAGCAGCATCAACGTAAAGCAAACACCACTCGAGCCCACAGCTGTTCCCAGCTTGCTGCCTTTCCTACCACGCAGCAACCTCAGAGAGCTCATGACAGAAAAAATTTGGGCCAGCCCTGGTGAGAGGAAGGTGGATTCTTGGTGTCACACACGCGTAGGTGTACGCACACGTGCAACCTGCAGGAGAGCAGGAGCGAGGTTGTTCAGCGCTGGGCCGCTCCCCGGCGCTGATAACAACATGTCATGCCCGAGTGTAGACTTTGGCTGGAAGTCCAAAGCAAAAGTGACATCTCAGGTGCTTCGTGGCCTCTGGGACAAGCCCGAGATGAAATAAAATCCTGGGGCAAGGCATCAAACAAATTTCGGCAGCGCATGTTGCTGTCTTAACATTTTTAGATGCCGGGTCTGACTAGCATGGTAATAATTCCATCCAAACTCACTTGGTTTTTCGTGCATTCACAGCATTCCTTGGCCTTTTCGAGGGTGGAAATGCTGCAGCTCCAGCCTGTGCTTCACTTGGAAATTTGGAGGAAATCCTCTTGTGTATTATGCTGAGTTGTGAGAAAATTAACTTATTACTAGATTTGCTTGCTTTAAAAAAAGAGAGGTAAAATTGCTTATTTTAAATGAGAAAACTGCTTATTGTAAAAAAAAAAATGCTCACTGCTATTTCTTTAATTGGATAGTAATTTAAAAGAACTGCATTTTGAAAGGTGCACTTTGATAGGGGACCACAGGTTTCGGGTTTTCATCACAGATGAAACTACTACTTATGGTTTTAATGTTCTCCAGATTAGTTTTGACCCCACAAATTTCAGTACAGAAAATAATAAACTCATCCAAGAATGTCCACAACAGCAAGCTGAACCTGCTGCTGCTGCTGCAATGTTCCTTTGAGCTAATTTAGGACTTTTCAGTGATTTTAGAAGACTTTGACTCATTCTTTAAATCAAGAGGCTGCATGTGAAGAAAAGAACACAAATCCACACCAAACAAGAGACTTCTGCACATCTCAGGAACGTGGTGGTTTGTGTCCGTTTTAGGGTTAAATATAATCTATGTCCTTCCACCACCTTTAAGCACATTAAAGCCTTAGATCAGTTTAAGCTCTTCAAGATGACCTAAGGCTCTTGCTCCTCTTAGATAGCTAAAACACTGTCCAAAAACATGCAGAAGCGAGGGAGAGGAGGTGATAGATGGTTGCTGCCACTGCTGCTTTTCTCACAGGAAGGAGGGAGTTTAAATTGCCATCAGGTTTT